TCTTGGGAGCTGTAGTGTTGACATTTTTATGAATGCCCTTCTTTTGACTCAGATAAAGAAGACAAAGTAACTCTTTAATTTTTGGATTCACCTCTGAATAAACAATATAGGAATCATCCTAATTGGGTACAACGAGCAAGGGAGAATGTTCATCTTAGGAAGCAAAATTCTTCCCAGCCAAGACATGGGAAGAAAATTCCAGTGTTCAAGATCTAGCTAAATTTTTTTTCAAATAATGGTTGACTATCTAATAGAAGACAGGTGTGACAAATATGCTTAGATATTTAAATCCTGCAGAGGACCACTTAAAGGGGGAATTAGGTATGTAATGTTGTCTACCCAAAGGCACGGATTTGCATAAATCTATTTTGTATCCCTAGAATGAGCCAAACTGATTAATAACTGCAAAGACTTTTAAGTGAACTAGTACTGTAGGTGTGGAGATAAATAACAGAACATTGTTGGCCTATAAAGAAATTTTATGGGTCCCCTGATCGGTGTTGACACCGAATATCGTGGGGTCAATATGAATAACTTTAGCCAGTGGTTCGATTGTAAGGGTGAATACAGTAAAAGCTGCAAAAGGGGGCAGCCCTGACTGTTTCCCTTTCCCACCTCAACATTTTTAGACCTAACCCTATTTGTGACCAAGACACTACTCAAAGGTACATATAATGAACTTGCATAGACAGATCTGGTGGTAAAAAAAAATTGCAGCGGTACAGCATGATACTGTGTAAAATTCAGTCTTCCCACTTCTTATCTTATTCATGTTATTTAAGTGATGCATGTTCAATTTGTTTTGTGATCCTTTCTAACTTTGTCATACAGCCGAGTTGTTCTTACAGCTTTTTGATGTCTTCCAGGTACTTTAAGTCCAAACGTGTAACTACCGAGGAGAGTCAGGTGGGTCAAAGATGAGCTTTTCTGGAGAGTACAGTGCTTTTCCATTTAGACTACAGAGTTCATTTTATATGTACACCTTTAGGGCCCAATCCACTAATATCCCAGATACTGATCACCAAATAGTTTGTGCAAACAAAAATTGAGAATGCAATTAATGGCTTTGTTGTAGATGATGGGCAAAAACTGTGCCTTAACCCCTGAGGTGAAGGATGGATGGTGAAGGATCTTACAGAATAAGTGAGGGCGGACAATTAAGAGTGAAACTAAAGTTCATTATACAGCCTTACATTACAAAGAGGTTCTCCTACTGTATGTCAGCTCAAAAGCAGGGCATATACTGTGCGATATTTTCAATCATTGCATGCAGCTATAACCTAAACTTAACTGTACGATGAAACCACAGGATTTAAAACTTCACAGCTCACGTTGCATGTTCTCACACTGTGCGACCCGACGCTCTGAAAAAGAACTCCCTGGTTTGCACATGCGCAGTGATCAAGGTTATGGTAAATCGGCTCGTACCTCTGCTTCAACAGCAGGATTCGCTAGTGAACACCTCACGACAGCAGACTGAATTTCAAACATGTTTGATTTCCCCCCGACCTTCCCATTCTTGATCGTGGAAGGTGGTCATGAGAGGCTGATTGCCCCTTGCTACCCCCTGTATGCTACACAATGCAGGACAAACGATCGGGCTGAAACTCTGCCTGATGGCAAAAAATTCTCACACGACTGGAGAATTGGTCCAAAAAGGGCAAAAAATCATACATTGTATGCCTGGCTTAAAATGGCCCAATGCAACAATCATATGAAGTAGTAAGGGCTTTGAAATTACTGATATACTAGCTATATGAAAAGGCAACCCTGATAGCACAGATAGAAAATAAGATAAAAAAAAAAAAGGACTCATACCCATCAGGCTTTTAAAAAGACAACACAAAAAGAGAGAAAGTGCAGAAAGAAACTGTTAGACTTTACAGAACAATCTATGCTTCTCAGCTTGAAAACTAAATTAATTTATGTGTGAGATACTCAACCCAAGAACAAAATACAGGAAACCAAAAACCAGGAGGCATCAGAGGAAGACACACATGGGGAGCCAAGTAAAAACAAGAAACCAGCAGTGATGAACTCCAGAGGAGGTGCATATATGGGGTACAGAACAAAGAAAGGGCTAATGAGCTGATAAGGAGCAGGCGTGGACTGAGGTAACTAGAATGGCACTAGGACAAAGGAAACTGGCACAAGGGGGCAACAGAGAGTATCTCTAGAAATCCAGCTTTATAACATAAAATGGAAAAGAAACCAATGTCCAACAAAACAGACTGATATAAATAACTTAAAACTCAAAAAGAGCTCAAAAAGAAGTCCAAAATTGGAGAACCATAACATTTGCAGTATGTTGCAGTGACCCCTGTACTTTATACTCGGTTCTGCGAAATGTAATTAGTTGTTTCCCTAAAATCTATACACAGAAAGGGCTTTCATTTCATCATTTATTCCAGGGTCTTTACAGAAGCTTAAAAATCTATCACATTATTATCATCATCTGCAGTAGTTTAAAGTTTTTCTTAAAAGCATAGCAATGTTATACTTTGAAGTGTAAACTTCAAAGTATGAAGAAAAAAAAAAGGAAAAATATTTTTAAAATTTTGATCTCATGTCTTGGATATTTAGTCAAAATTTGAAATTCTTATTGAAAACACTAAATATTTAGTTTAATTTAAACAGTGTTGGGGGGTGGGGTTGTCTTTCTGTGTCTCTGTGGTCTCAACTGTGATTTTTTTTCACAGAGCCAAACAAGAGACAGCCATGTGTCATTCAGTAATGAAAAGGAGGACCTGCATTATGGAGAAGTAAATTTTCACAAAAAGACCCCTCACACATCCTCACAGCACGACAATGAACGCCAGGAGACTGTGTATGCCGAAGTTAAAGTGTCTAAACCAGATAACAACTCAACTGTTAATGACAGTCCAGAGGAGCCTGGTGATCAAAAGAAAGAAGAATAAATTTAAGTGTGTGATAATAGACTTACTTTTTGGTATCAAAACAGTTGCTGATTTTTTTAGGGAAGTTTCGCTGAAACATTTTAGCATTTAGAGAGAGCTGACTTTATAAACTGTTAGTCAACTACAACCATTCACATGTATTGCTGTTTGTTTAATCATGGAATTCTCATTGTATAGGAACCTTGACTTGAAACTACACCTTAAAATTTTTTATTATCGTAATGTAAAAGTTTAGAACATTATGCAACTGCATAAAACAGTTTGCAATACCAATTATGATTATTATTATTTTTTTCTGAATGGGCTTTTTTCTAAATTTGTTATTTTATATTTCTGCACAACTTTACGCCTGCCAAGCTAAAAAAAATCTGCTTTGTTAATATCTATTTGCTATCAGTGAACCAAACTGAATGATATGATTTTTTTTTTGGAATATACCTTTGTTTTTCCTTTCGGGTTTACGATTGCAGCTTTTGCTTCAATGACAGGATTAATCAAAAGTTAAGATGCATCTCATATCAGTTTCATAGCTTAAGATTTAGATAAGTTTTGACATGTTCACTCGCTCTGTGTAAGTTTGAGTGTTTACAAACACTCATATAATAACATTATTTTAATGTGTTTTACTTATTCAAACAGTCTATCCACTCTTTAATAGTTTGATCTTAAGCCTGCTAAAAAGTGCTTACAATAAAATCAGCCTTTCTGAACTTGTTTTTTTTTTTTGTGACACAGTGAAAAAAACAAAAAACATGATGGGTTTTGTGAATGTTGTTAATATCGAATCACATCTCAATGAGTTTCCATCATTTACCACAATCAGTTCCTGAGGAAGGTGGTTGAGGACTTTTAAATTTACAATATGTATTATGCCAAAGAAATGTCTACTCAGATTTAATATGAACTAGAATGTTTGACTTATGCAGAGGATAACATGGGTTACAGTATATTAACCAGCACTTCATACATCTAGCAAAGTTCTAAGTTGTGCAACTGCATTGAGGAAAAAAAGTTTAATACTTCCACATTTTTAGAACATTTAGGACAGGTTCAACTAATCAGAGTCATCGCTCACATAATCAGAACATGCAGTCGATCACGGAGTTCATGGGGAAACGTGAATCTTCATTGTATTTCAATGGTAAAAAGCTAAGTTCACAAAGTCAGCAACGGAAGGGAAATGCTGTGGCCATCATTTTGACTAAAAGGTAAATTATTTCAGTGAAAATTTATTTAAATAGTTTGGTTCCAGTTTAGTCTAGCTTGAGCCTGAAAATCTTAGGCATAGTTTTATTTCCAAATTTCTTTAATGAAGGATTAGCGAGATTTTAGCAAAGGCAAGGAGGGTACCCATGGAATTGTACTCAAGTAAGAGTAGCACTATTTTAAAATGTTTTTACTAATGCACTACTGATGTTTATAAATTATGCCAGCAAACAAACTTAATGTGCAAGTTCTAGCATTTTAAAGCTTGAAATAGATATGTATATAAAAGAACACATTTGAGAAGAAGAAATACTTTAACCAATTTTTTTTCAACAGAAAACTTAGTAAACCAATCCATACCATGAGAACTCTTTCTTTAGGATAAGGTAACAAATTACTACGGTTTACTGTATGTTTACCTGATTTTGGAAAATTCAAATTACTCACAGAGGACAGAGTAGTCAAAGATTTTAATCAAGTAGGAGTAGGGATACTTTACAAGAACTTACTCAAGTAATAGTAAGAAGTATGGCACAGTAAAACTACTACAAATTTTTTATTTTTTTTTGAAATTGTTATCCAAGTAAATGTAACTGAAAAAATGCAAAAAATTACTATTCACCTCTGGATTTTAGCCAGAAAGTATATTGTTCGGACAAAAAAAAAGCAAACTAATGCAATTAACACTTCATTTGCATATCATTCTCTTTCAGTAACACAAGTGGTGAGATACCCACCATGTGACAGGTGAAAACAGAGTTGAAAAACCTTATCTAAAAATGGTAGCTCTGATATTTCACACTGTCTTTATTCTTTATTTTAATAAAGTAACAAAAAGATTGAGGCACCTGGAAAAATGGACTAGATATTCCAGTTCAAATAATCATGTGCATATATATGTTGCAATATGTTTTACTATGTTATACATATTAATTGAATTGCACACACACACACACACAAAATGCATTGTAGCAAAGACTAGGGGGACGTCCTGGGCCAACTTCACACGCTGCAAAGTGTCTGGAGAACAGTTAGGGCAGGACTGAAGCTGTTCTGGTGGAGTGCTGAGTTTTAGAAGTAAATTAATACTTCTCTAGAAGTCAGAACTGTTCATGCGAAAATATATGTCAGGGAAAACAAAAAGAAGAAACTGAATGTTTAGTCGAACCCCAAAAGTTCTTTTCAGAAACCAATATTTAGATATTTTGTAATATTGTATATATAGGCTACTGTATATATATTCCACAACTTTGTAGGGATATATATTTGCTCAAACCAAAGCGAAACCATAATGTTATAAGACAGAGACATTATATAAATCTATCAATCATAAGATTGAGAGATGTTACTCTCTGGCTTCCACTGTTCATGTGAAGGATAACTGCTGTTTATTTTAGAAAAATGGTAAGAAACTTCCTAAATTGTAAGGTTTTCGTTTAGGAGAAGGGAAATATATATATATATATATGTCAGGCTGTTTAGTTGATCTGCTTTTGTTTGCAGAATCAGTGAATCTGTAAATGACTTCTTTCTCTGTTAAAAAAAACTACAGACCTGCATTTAACTTCCTTACACCTGGCTTGACATAGCCACACCTGTGAAGCCTTGATTGGCCTTTTTGGTATGGAGGAAGCAGGAGGCACTCTTGACTTTAGGTTGAGTCTGGCTTTATCTCTTATCCTGGAATTTCTAAATTCAGATTTTACGAAAAAGTGCCCAGCAGTTCTAGTTTCCTCTGTAATGGTTGGTATGGTTGTGATGTATCAGTATATCCAATGTATATTATTGTATATATTTTAAAAGCACTCGTAGCAACTTCAGGCTGTAGCCAGCGGTTTGATGGACCGCTAGCTTGTCAGACTCAAATCTGCTGTTTTACATATTTTCCACACATGTTCTGGAGGGGTAGTAAGGAAAGTCAGAACCCCGGCTCCAAAAATGCCTTTTCTTTCCTTCCTATTACTCGAATCACACGGTGAAGGGGCTCAGAAGCATAAGCAAAGTGATTTAGATGCTTCGGTGTTCTTTCATCTTCATAAAACATTTAAAACTGAATGTCTTAAATGCTTTGAGAAACTTACTAAAACACTGTAAAACTATAAAACTCATAGCACAGTTAAAACACCTACTCTTTATCAAACCAGTTAATTTAGAAATAAATGCTTAAGTTAATTTTTAGTCATTTTATACCTTTGAAATAGTTCTATAACAAGCAATACCTTCTCTATTTCTCAGTCTTTACTGGATATATAAAATATAACAGACAATCATTTCATGACAGCATGCTGTTGCCATCCATCTAACAGCACATTATAATAATGCTCCTACATAGTTTGGTATAACGTGCCGCTATATTATCAATACTATCTAGATTATCTAGATATTATCAATACTGTCAACTCACCATTCTCGTTTTATATATTTATTACAATGTTCATCACATCCTTCATCTTATGCTGCTTCAATACTTTGCTATGCTTGTGAATATAGACCCTCTTAATTTTGAAGAGTTATTTTACCTTGAAAAAAAATACAAAATGTATTTCTCATCTTTTTTTATTTTTGGGCAATGATAAATTTTTTGAAACAGTAAGGGCATCTTTTATCTAAAACTATGAAGCAAGTGTTGTGAAAGCTTACCAGAAGATTATGAATATATTAAATAAGTGGAACTGGAGGTTATACTTAATTAATAGGTAATTCAAATCAAGTGTAAAACCAATTATTTATTATCAATTAAATGATTATAACTGAACAGGATTTTAGCCTCTTACCTAAAAGGTCTGACTCCTGAATCCGGCCGTTTAAAATCCAGTTGTCTTTCACCAGTTTAGTAATTTAGGCTATCAGAAAAGTGATTAACCACCAACCAAATAAATCTGTCTCTGTTCTTTAAATGATACTGAAATAAGAGTGAATCCAGCCTGAGGGATAAATCGTTCACTGTGTAAAATGAACACAAAAGACCATGGGTTAAAATACAATGGTACCTTTATTAGCTACAATTAATGAAGCCGATTACTCACAGGTGTGCAGAAACTGCCCTCCAACAGACCACATTCTAATGGCTCCTCCTAGTGGGAAAAAAACATGCTCCAGCAACCAACAAAATAAAAATTTCCATCATTAAAATCTTGTTATATCATGATAGAAAGCAGCCCAATTTTTTTTATCAACTATTTAAATGTGGTGTGATTTCGTGGAAATCATAGATTTGTCGATCTAGAATTACAAATAAAGATGCACATAAATGGTAAATAAGGTATTATTGCAGTTCTGTAAATTGTTCTGAGAACAAAACTGAAGCCCCTGCCACACCTTGACTATTTAGCCAGCGTATGCCTGACTTCCCAGAATCTTCTAAAACCCTGTCATACTCTGAACGTTCTTTGTATTTTATTTTATTTTTTTCAATTTTGGGCATTTACATAGAGTATTCATAACGATTCCAGTGTGTATGTCCAATGACAGCCTAACTTATGCATAACACATGGCAGCGTAATGCCTATGAAATGTCACAAGCCAGTGTCCTGAGGGGGCAGCAATGCAACAGGAGGTGCCCAGCCTGCATAAAAAGATGTCTCTGATCGCGGTATTAAGCTAGCTGCTGTTTCCTGCCTGCCAAAAAAAGAATGAATAAAAATAAAAAGAAAGACAGAAGGTTTGCAGTTGCAGCAGATTCAGCATCATGTCTGCTAGGATGTTTGTTGGTCATGGCCGTCACCTTCTCGCTCACCCTATGATGGGGATGAAGTCTGGAGAACTAACGAT